AGCTGGAAAAACAGAAAAACATGTGGCACCAGCGACAGGTTGACTACTGCGGGCCAGAACGACAACAACCAGCAGCGGTGTACACTTACATGGCCCGCAGTAGTCAGCCTCGCGCAGACAGGCATACATACACTGGACAGACAGACAGGTTGGCTACTGCGGGCCAATGGGACAACAACCACCAATGGTACACACAGTCATGGCACACAGTAGTCAACCTCTTGCAGCTTGGAAAACAACACTCGCACAATCGACACGTTCATCAGTCAGCGATGCAACACGACGCCGAACGTGACATGCGAGACCAGAATTGGCCTGCAAGGGGGACAACTTCATGCTGTCGGACAGGTAGACATGCGCCGACAGAGGGCCATTCAGTGTTGCGGCCCACTAGCCAACCTCAAGTATGTGAAAACCAGACATTGGTACACACAGAGAGAGAGAGAGAGAGAGAGAGAGAGAGAGAGAGAGAGAGAGAGAGAGAGATCATGCTTCCCTGACGACCCGCGCTGCCACAATTTGACTCCTTCTGTACAGAGTTTTCAAGCGCTCATGGATGTCAAGTCCTTTCCTGCAATATTCACATTTTTTTTCCGCTCCATGATGGTCCGCGTTCAGTAACATCGGTCTCATTATCTCTTTGATATATGAAATTATATGGGAAAAACAGTCCGCGACCAGCCTGGCCATTTGTCGAGAGTTTGCGTCAACAACGAAATTTTCAAAAATTTGCGTCGCCATAGGCAGTACAGAAGATTCTGGTCCGGCCGAAGGTGCTTTGCTGGCAAGCACGCAGGGGAAGTTGTGACGCACGTGGTGAGATTTCAGTGCCGCAACATCACTGCACGCCAACAGGACGTGTGGTGCAGGCGCATCCTTCCCAAGAGTGGCCCCATTTCCCAAACACACTCCGATTGGTCTGTCAGCTTCTTCTCTTCCCTTCTTCGTTTCACCTTCTCCACATCCCATAACATCTCCTTCCATACATGTCACCGTCAGTTCTCCAGCCAACAACCTGCCTCGAGTGTGTTGCAGGGCATCCATTACGTCTTCGCAACTGCTCAGCAGAGACGCGATTTTTGCAAGAAGCTTGTCATTAACAGACCCGACACCCACTTCACTCAGACCGTACTCCTCGACGGTTTCCGTACAGTGGCGAATGCAGTCCTCGGCGAAGGCTAACAGGTCAACGACGCTGCGTGCCGTCGTAGGTAGCGAACCTGTGTTGTAATCTTGGCTATTGTACGATGCCCACCCCTCCTTCACCACACATTTTCCGCAGCTGGCAAGACACATGACATCCCCTCCGTCTGACTCCCCGTTTGTTGTCTTCGTGACGTGGGCGGAGAACCGCTTCAAGACTGCGGTGAGCCTTTCCCTTTCAATATCCAGCCATGCCTGAAACTTGTCGAATGTGGTGTTCTTCGTTTCAGCAATTGCCTGAAGTCTGACTGACATGTCCTCCCTCAGACGAGTAACGTCTATATCTTTCATGTTGTCAAGCAACAACCAGAACACGGTGAACATCCTGTGCTCCGCAGTTTCTGTCATTTCGTCGAGGAGCGACTTGAGGCGGCGTAGTTCGTCTGACATCTCTCTAAGCAGTACTTTCTGCTTATGCACCTCCTCTGTTAGCCTGCCTATATGTTCTCGGTCGCTAACTACAGTCCGACCCCTATTTGGATCCGTTTCATGTGTCTTATAGTCCTTGCCGCGTGGGGGAAGGAACTCATCCATCCTTGCATGACACTCTCCGCCCAGCTTTATTTTCTGTCCGGTCGTGGTGAACCTTGACATCTGGAAAGCATTGTATATAAAGAGAAATACGTGGACACAGCAAGAGAGAGAAAGAGAGAGAGAGAGAGAGAGAGAGAGACAGAGAGGGAGCCTCACTGCTTCCGTACAATGGCGTCAACGGGGACCTACCAAACACTCTCTATGTATAAATGTAATGTGGCAACACTAGTATTTACTACTCAACATCTGCGTCCCCCCCCGTACATGAGTCCATACATCACTGAACAACACGGCACAACTCCGACATGGCGGACCCTTATTTCGAAACGCAAGCGTCAGAACAAGGAATTAAGCAAGACATGAACGTCAGAACGCATGCAAGTAAACACATATAAAACGACTGCGACAAAGACACAGAGAGAGAGCCCTATTCCGGACCCAGAGATAGAGACAATCGTCACAAACAAAGAAACTGTTGGATGGTCCGCCATTCTGATGTTGACCGAAGTTGGCTATTGCGGGCCAAAAATACACATATGCACATCGATGCGTGTGCCGGTGGCCCGCAGTAGTCA